GAAAGTTTAAGATTGCACACGTGCCTTGAGAAACGTCAACAGTAATTTGGCATGTCTTGTTTGAGAGTTCCTGTTTTCCAGTATATCTCTTTTTTATCAGTTGTCATAGTAACAGTTGTGTTTATTCAATTTAAGATTGTCCAACATAATTACCCCAAGGTTCCTTAAAATTTTCCTGCTGTTCTAAATTGTAGTGCATTCACCCTCTTCTTTGCCATAGAGGAGCTGAAGTTTGTTGTGTGAGTTAGACCTGCCTAGTAAGGGTCAGTACTGTATTATGCCCCACTGGAAGAAGATTTATTTCAACATGGACATTTGTTGTGCCTTCAATGGATACCAGTCTTGCAATTCTTTTAGCATTATCTGTGAAGAATAATACACGCCTCTGATTTAGATGTACTATACTGTGTATATTGTTTGTCAGATATGGCAACGAGAAAGTATATAGAGAGGAAAAGTGTGCCTCACTACTTGGCTTGTGGGATAGTACAGCACCACAGTGAGCTTAGCCTCATATTTAGCCATGTGCTCAGTCATATAGACTTCACTATAGGGATGGCTGCTTTCCCCATTTCCTTTTTTTTTTTTTTTTTTTTTTTTTACATTCTCACTTTTGTGTTTGGTTAAAATTTAATTTTTGTTTGTTTAATTTTATAAACTTTTTTTTTGTGTGTGTGTGTCAGCTTTGATTTCAACAAAATGAAAGTCAGAAAATTGATTGTCATAATTTAGCTAGTACTTGTTCTACATTCTTGATGCTTTATATGATGTCTAGTAACCAAGTTTTTTTTTTTTCAGATTTTGCTTAATCAGATCTGATGTGGTCTCTGATAAATTTATTTTCATGGCCTCATGCTGTCAAAGAACTAGCTTAAAAATAATTGCACTGTCTCCAGTATACTTTAATGAGTCACTAAGTGGGTCATTATATGATTAAAACCTATGTATTTTGATAAATACAATATGGGATGTCCAGTTGTAGTGATTACTATGCAGTCTTCTTTTTTTGGTAACTAAACACAAATTTCATCTAGGCTAGTACTCGACCATAGCAGAAAGTTCAATCTGTTATGACTGCAACACAAACTTCAGCTTAAAAACTAAACCAAAAAAAAAACTTAAGATTTTCATTCAAACCTGCAACAGTATTTGTACCCATCATGTACAATCACAGAGAGAAACAGCACTTTTGTCTTTGTGGTGTACATATGTTCAGCGGTGTCCATATTCAAATATGTATGCCATAGTTTGTAGTATAATTATTCCAGAAATTAACAGAATGGTGAATATTATATCTTACTGCACAGATAAGTTGAATATACACCACTTTAAAACTGAATAAATCTCATTTTTGTGCCAATGTAATACACATAGTTTTAAGGTAAGTGCTTCAGGAAGCAGTACAGTACTTGCAAGAGAAAGAATATGGTACTGACTTTTAATTCTGTACTGATATAGGTGGATATTGGCTACTTTTGAGGGTATCAGCCTAAAATTGAGCATGGGTATTGACAAATTTTGGTATCTTGCCTCATCCCTTCTTTTAATCTGGTAATTGTGATTTTTAAACATGTACAGCATGAATGACCCTTGCCATGGAAGTGCCTTGAAAGAGTGATATTGTATTGTATGCTCCATAAGCAATTGTTCAATTAATATTTGCTATTGATCTGTTGAGTCAAGGAATAAATGTAAAATTTCTCATGTTGATGGTTTTCAACAGTTTATACATTTGAAACATAAACCTGTATTATACAGTCATGCTGTGAATAGGCAGTAGTACAAAGATCTGAATAGAGAACAGACTGTAAAACTTGTCATATTAGATCAAGTGAAATAGATAAATAAGCCGTAAAGTTGATATTAGCGAAATTATTAAAGTACAGAATTCCACCAACTAATTGCATTTCAATTCTGGTGTGTTAGCCAGGTTACGTTTGTGAAGGGACTCGGGAAAATTAATTAAGCTGATTTGAATCCTCTTGGTAGGAAGTATGGTGCCTGCACTCTGAAGGATTGGTAGGAGCTTTTTTTTTAATTCTTTGGTCCACATGCATTTATGAAACTTAAAGGGCCATATTAAGATATTTTGGTCCCAAACCTGGTGCCCCTATGTAATGAATTGGCTTTCTTCACATGATACACAAATATCCCGCATGTAGGAGGGAGAAGCTTATGACAACGTTTCGTTCCAGCTTGGACCATTTAATTCATGAGTTGTGCTAACACACAAAAGTGAGGGAGCCAGTATATATAGGAGAGGGGGACTTACCTACAGAGTCCATGAAGCTTGTGTCAAAGTCAACAACCAAATGGTTGAGGGAACTCAAAATTGGCATTTTTGATAGGTCATCACAGTCTGCAGACATGAATGTAATATAAAGTTTGTACAGCCTCTCCTCTCTTAACAATGGAGTTCCGTTCCTAAGACCACATCGGTGAGCGAGTTCGTCGCTAAGCAAGGAGCATACTATAATGGTAGTGGGTTTATGTCAGTCTTCTTTGATATTGTTTTAATGTCACCTTAGTACCATTTATAACATTTTTAGTATATTTTTAATTGTTTATACAGTAGTGTACCATATACAGTGGTCCCTCAATAATCGTCCGGCTCAATAGTCGTCCTTTTCGGAAATCGTCGCGTTATTCTCATCCAAACATTGGCTCACAAATGGTCGGTTTACTCACTAATCGTCCTTCGTTCGGGACATGTACTCACGCTCTGAGCCGCCTCGGCCTCTCTTCCCAGCCATTGTGCCATTGTTTACCAGTGAGCGACAGTCCCCTCACTTGTTCATACGTAATATTTCATAATATTCAATTTGTTTTAGTGCTTGCAACTGCTAAATGAGTCACCATGGCTCCAAAGAAACCTTCTAGTGCCAGCCCTTTGGTAAAGAATGTGAGAAACACACATAATTTATGAAAAAGTTTGTAGAAAAATACAAAGGTGGTGGTGATATAGTGGTGGTAGTGATGGTGGTAGAAGGTAGTAGTGATGGTGGTAACAGTTGTAATAGTGGTAGAAGGTGGTAGTGATGGTGGTAGCAGTTGTAATAGTGGTAGAAGGTGGTAGTGATGGTGGTAGAGGGTGCCTTCTTCAGTGATTCAGCAATTCTACCAACTCCTCCAATGTTGTTGGAGTTGTATAGGGCTACAGAATACACCACCACCTCAGCTGCTGCTTCACCACCATTATGGACGGCTTACTCTCAGTGGCCCTTATACACCCAACAACAACACAACACAACACCTCTCGTGACATACATAATGACTTATTTTATTCATTCTAGAGTATATTCCATGTTTCTATGTTATTAATATTGTTTACTATGTCATGTTAGTTGAATTGTCATAGATAAATAAGCCGTAGAGTTGATATTAGTGTCATATTCTCCAACAATAAACTTGCCATCCCTCCCTCACACAAACAAGTCTTCAATATGAACTTAAGAACATAAGAAAGGAGGAACACTGCAGCAGGCCTGCTGGCCCATACTAGGCGGGTCCTTCAGAAATCCAACCCACTAACAAAGCAAATGCTACCCAAGCAATAAGCTCAGGTGCAAGTCCGACTCAAATCCAACCCCTCTCACTCGTGTATTTATCCAACCTAAATTTGAAACTACCCAAGCCATAGCTTTTAGAACATAAAAAATGAGGAACACTGCAATAAGCCTGTAGGCCCATACTAGGCCGGTCCTTCACAAATCCAGCCCACTAACAGAACAAATTCTGCCCAAGCAATAAGCTCAGGTGCAAGTCCGATTCAAATCCAACCCCTCTCCTGTATTTATCCAACCTAAGTTTGAAACTACCCAATGTTTTAGCTTCGATCACCCTACTTGGCAGACCGTTCCACTCATCAACTACCCCTATTATCAATGTTCATTTATACATTTTATTAGTGCTTTACATTTATTTGGCATTCTTTTCTGCTGTAAATCTATGTTAATGCTAGGGAAGTGACCCCTGAAGTGACCTAGAGTCCTTATGGAGGGGGATTACCCTTCTAAACAACCTCTCTTCCCTCTTCCCTCTCTCCTCCTCCCTGTCTTCCATTCATCAACAACAGCCTTCAATAAAGGTAACTGTCATGTTGAATGTTCATTCTTTTGTGCATGTAAATCTATCTTTTAGGTAAAAAACAAAATTGTTGTTGATACTTCTGGGTGTCTGGAACGAATTAATTGGATTTACATCATTTCTTATGGGGAAAATTGAATCGAAAATTGTCCATTTCGATAATCATCACACTTCCAGGAACGGATTACTGATGAAAAACGAGGGACCACTGTACTGTAATAAACAGAATAGAAGAAATCAGCTTTAATATACATTATTTAGGTATGCATACTGGTCAGAGAGCCCGTTGTAAGTCCAAGTCATTGGTAAACGAATACATTGCTGAGTGAGGAGAGGCTGTATTATGAATTGGAAAATATGCAGTTTACAAATATAAGTTCTTCAGTCTGCAGGAGCTAGAGAAATTCTGCATGAAGGATTTGTCAAATATTCTTCCTAAAATGATGCTGAAACTACAGAAAGGTTACTGAAAATATTTCCATTTTATTTAGTCCAGAGGAGACTTTACAAAGTACTGAGTGCCAGAACATGAATCACTACTATGTAAAACTTTCTCTGACTTGTATCAATATTGTAGGTGTTTAAGAATTTAATTTGTTTTTTTACCAAAAGCTCCTAAATATACAATTGCATTTTGTTGCAAACTCACATGTATACAGTAGCTTTATATAGCCCATGTCCATCATCCATTTAATTCCTCCTGTAAATTTTGTTCATTAAAGTACATGTATAACTTGTTTCTGTGTTGATGAAACTTCCATGAAAGCATTCAAGTTTGTGACTACTAAAAGATATTTGAAGATCAGCTTTTGGATTTGTAGTCTGTTTTCAATTCAAGGCAGTTTGCAAATAATCAGTAAGGTATTTAGAACATTTTTTACCCTCATTTATGACATCTTTTAATTTCTTTTCAGTGCTAAGTAATGACTCGAGTTTAGAGGAGACATGTATGACACCACAGACTAATGGCCAGCAGCTAGAAAAACAAAAGAGTATTGAAGAGGTGCCTTTGAAGCTACAAGAGCAGCCACTGCCACAGCTTCAAGAACCTGAGTTAACACCCACCCAGCCACAGCCCCAGCCTCCACTCATACCTCAGTCACAGCCTTGCCTCATCACTCCTAATCTCACCCTAGAAGAAGAGGCTCAGCAAAAACTTGGTGCGTCTGTGGTTGAAAGTTATGCCTTTTGTAACCTATATTTTATCTGCAAATGGTATGTTGCAGCAATGATATTCTGCATACCAGTTCCTCCATAAATAAAGTTCAGAGTGGAAATAATCTAATAAATTTTTTTTACTTGTTTTAATCAAAGTATTTATGAAAGTGCAGTTAATATTTATTTACAAGTAGTTTGAATTAAAGCACTAAATATGACTTTAGTCAGGTAAATTGGAAATCTTTGTTTAAAAATTGGTTAGAATAGCAGGAAATACACTTTTAAACACACCTCTTACCAAATATCTGGAATTTGATTATAGTACTGTATAACTTTCAGTTTTAATATTCTAAAACTTCTAATTTAATTTTGATATATTTGTATGAAAAGCTGCAGACAAACTTCTTCCACAGGTTTGTCAGCCCTAGGCAGAATTAACAAAGGCCTATTTGCTTTGTTTTTTTAGCTCTTCACTGTACACTCAGATTCCAAATGTTGTGCACTTCCTTGCACAGGAATATGTCAGATGTTAGTTCAAATAAGGCTGAGAATGTGTAAAAAATTTAAGTAAAGATGCAATAAAGCATGTCTGATTGACTTTTTCAAGGAAGATACTGATTTACTGTATAATAAATATTCTTCATTAAGGAATGGAATCTTACAACATTTGTTTGGCTTTTCAGCTTCTATGGTAGAGTAAACCTTCACCTTAGCGGACCTCAATTTAAGAAACTCTGGATGTTTGGGACAAAATTTATTGGATCAGTTGAATTTGTTTAGGTAGAGTAGTTGTGGGGGTCTCAAACTTACTGTTTCAATTATTAGCCAGATTAGAGGAGAAAGGTTTTAGTAAAGGTTTGACATCATGATTTATTAAAATTGGGAACATTAGTAACTAAGAAAAAAACAAGGGATTACTAGGACATTAACAAGACAGTTCGCCCTGACATTTCCTAGTTAGTGCATACATGTTTTTCATACATACCTGGGAGAAAGTCACCATTCATAACCTAAACATTTCTACAGTATATCATAGTATATAAGTTGGGTTTTAAAGTTAAATTCTTTGTTTACACAACAAGGAGGTCACCTGCATGATGGGAATAAAATATCAAGACACTAAACTACCTCTTCAGAATCACTTTAGATTACTACTCGGTTTCCAGCATTCATACACTAATGTGGAACACACTCGGAACCATCTATGCAAACATATCTGGAGCAAGGGTTATAAACAATAGCCTTATTATAAATAAGTGAAGAATTGTGAGAATATACAAGAGTAGAGAAAAGCACTGCAGTTGTCCTGCTGGCTTTTCTTATGATTGTCCAGTCTGCTTATAGTCATTCAAGTTGTAAGCTTTGGTGAGGACTTTTGGCAGTTACTTCCATATGTCTACTACTCTGTTACCGTGCAAAAGCAGTACTACTTTCCTATGAGAGCAGAGACTTGACAGTACAAAATACCAACCACCATTGCAGAACGGGTGCAGCAAGTACACTGAGAGATAATTCGATAATTATAAAGGGCCCAAGATTTTGCACCACCTTTCCTTCATACATAAGTGGAATTACCAACAGGTCTCTAGCGCTATTGAAAAGGAAACTGGTTAAATATTGTAGTGCCTAATCAGCTGGGCAGTGGTGCCTATGATGGACTGAGTGCAGCTAGCACTTAAAAGCTTAGTTGATTAGGCCATTAGCTAAGATGCATTGTCTAAGACTGGGCTATGGGAAAGATGACTTCCCACAATCGACTTCAGGTGGATAGATGTAATGTCATGATCTTCCTGTTCCAAGAGGCAAGCCAACACATTTCTAGTTGGCTGATGCCCACCCACACAAGAACTGAAGCTCCTGTTTGGCTCAGATGTTATCCAGGAGGCAAGCTACCACATCACTTGTTGGCTGACACCCACCCATGCCCACTGACCATAATAATAATAATACAATAATAATAATAAAATAATAATCTTTATTTCTTTATCTCTACAAGTACATGATAAAACTATTACAGACCTAGTTAAAAAGGGTGCAATAAGTGGTATGAAGTTTTGACATCTGAGTAATCAGTTTATAAGATGGCAAACTTTGTATACAGTACCATGAATTATTTCACAGATGGAGCTGGTTCTTGCTAGTTCTGCTGACTGTTTTGTGTGTTTGCATATATTCTTAGTTACAAACATGAAGATTATCATTAGAAGGTTGATTATGAATTTCCTAGAATTCCACTTTACAGATGCAGTACTAAAATAACCACCAAGTCAAAGACTTTAAATGGGTATCTTTTGTTTTTCATTAATTTTAACATGCATGTACTTGTACACATCATTGTATATTCTATTATTAGCTAAGTATGAGGAACCTGACTATTTCCTGTAACAAAATACAGCACATATTGAAGCCATATCATGCCTCAGTATGTCCAACTGATTAAATTTGCCTCAGCTATGGATGTGGAAACTAAATTTTGTTTGCAGGCAAGCTTAAATCAGGTGCACAGAATATAAAAATCTATTTTTCCAGAATATCAGTTTAAACAAGCTGTGTGCTAAATTATTTATTCTGATCAAATATTGATGATAACACTTGTTATTTGTAACATCTCGATTAAACTATTGAGGTACAGTATAATTAAATCTCTTGTTAGCATAATTAAGTCTGATTCAAGAGAGCTGGATGGCTTCAGGTACACAACTAATACTATATTTGAGAAATGCTGATTTGTTTTTTTTATACCCATACTCTCAAACTTACTTATTCCCTATCCATTCCATACGTTTTGTCAGGCTGAAGACTAATGTGAGTAGTAATAGATGCATGACTAACATCTGTTTCGTAATTGGTCTGCAGAACACCGCAAGAGTCTAGCAGAGATGTGTGAGGGGGATGTGCGGCCGGGTGGGGCGGTGGGTCTTTCACTTGACCCACTCATGAATGGCCACGACAGCCCCCGCCCCACACTTGGCCGCTCAGAATCTGAGATTACGCCAGATATGAGACTTCCCCCAGAAGATGAAGGTGCTAATATTTATACAGTATTGTCTCGTTTATGTTGACGTTTAAGATTTGTCAAGTACATTGTACTATATAAAAGAGTTAGAAATATGTTTAGGAAAAATAAATTTTTTTTAAGCTGTATGTCGTTATCACTGATTCTGAATGAGATCAGCTTCGAGTTTGCACAATAATGATTTAGCCTCTAACTTCATCCTTCATACTTTTTATTATTGGAAAACTTGTAATATTGTTTGAAAAACTTAGGATTGTAAATCCTCACACAGATGGTGATGATGTTGGTGCTAACTACAACTTCACTGGAGGTAGTAGCAGTAGTGGGAGTGGAATGCGAAGAGTAGCATCCTGTCCTGACCATAAAGCTATTGAGCGTGTTCCTGATCCTGTTCATGAGATTTGCGATATGAAAGTTAAAATTGCTGACTTAGGTAATGCTTGCTGGGTTGACCATCACTTCACAGAAGATATTCAAACTCGGCAGTATCGGTGCCTAGAGGTGCTGTTAGGAGCAGGTTATGGAGCCCCAGCAGACATATGGAGTACTGCTTGTATGGTTAGTCTTGTTTGAATTTTGAACCATTACATCTACCTCTTTCAAAAAAAAACTTGAGTTAGAATTTGTATTGTATTTGTTTTAAAAATTTTAAACATTAAAATTTTTCTGGGCTAACTTGAATAACAAGTTTTATTTTATACATTGTAGTTTGCATCAAAGATGTGCTAAGAATTCTCAGCACAGTTGCTGGGAGATAGAAATGTTTAATAGGCCAGTAGTATATATTTGTTGATTTTATATTAGTTTTTTGATCAGTGGGTAGATATTACACATCTTACTAGTGGTAATGAGAGAGAGAGTGTGAGAGAGAAAGAAAGACAGGAGGAAAGAGTGAGTGGGGGAGGGAGGGAGGGGGAGAGAGGAGGGAGAGGGATGGAAGAGGGGGAGAGGGGGGATGGAAGGGGGAGGGGGATGGAAGGGGGAGGGGGAGAGGATGGAAGGGGTAGGGGGGGAGAGGGATGGAAGGGGGAAGGGGGAGGGGGGATAGAGAGATGGAGAGAGAGAGAGAGGAGAGAGATGGCTCCAATTTCATCCTGTTCCCTACTTGTATGTCTCATAACAATAAAAATGCTTTCAAATGAGCTGATGTAGGTAACAGCTCTTAGCTTGCCAAAAAAGTTAGGAATCCTTAACCTGTAAATAGCTTGTCAATAAAGCTAGGGATCCTTAACCTTGTCAAACCCTGTGTATAAAAAAAAAAAGTGGGAGAGAGAAAGAGGAGGGAGAGGGGAATGAATGAATGAATGAATGAATTGGGAGAGAGAGAAGATAGAGGGGGAAGATGTTCAGGTTTTTTTTGTTTTTAGTAAGATCGAGAGTCTTTGTTAAAGCCTCATTATGACATGGAGGCATTACATAACTTATTTAACATGTCTAATTGTATAAAGCTACTCTCCTCAGTACTACTACTGTTTAATCATGTCAACAGTTCAGTGGCTTTCTTAAACTTTGATTTTATTTTGCCCTACATGCTAACAGTTCTTAGAGGGAGTATGAGGCACACAAGCCTCTATGCCATGCTATCATATATATCTTGATCTTAAGTTATTTGTAACAATGAACTAGTCACATATCATAGAACACTTAACATTTACTAATATGGAAACTAAGCTGATTTATAACTGGAGGTATACGTCTATTCACTTCTGTGTGTGTGTGTGTGTGTGTGTGTGTGTGTGTGTGTGTGTGATGTGTGTGTGTGTGTGTATTATATTATATATATATATATATATATATTATATATATATATATATATATAGTATATATATAGATTATATAGATATATATATATATTATAGATATATATATAGATATATAATATATCTATATATATAATATATATATATATATATAGATATATATATATATTATATATATTATATATATATATATAGATATATATAGATATATATATATATATATTATATATATATATATATATATATTATATATATATATATATATATTTATATATATATATTATATATGCGCAATAAGATCACAGTAAACAGGTGATTTCAGAATATAAAAAACAACCACTCTGAAAGAATAGAGAAATTCCAAGCGCTTTCGTGGCTACTCACATTATCAAGGAACTATGAAAGTAAAGCATCCAAGGAAGCTATATAAGGGGTCTGGCCGGCACCTCACTATCAGATCCCACAACGGTTTAAACACCTGACGCGCGCCGACCCAATTTGGATAGGTCCTTGGCACAACTCGCCCCACAAACTATTCTACCCAAGCAATAAGAAATTTTAACGATTATTTGTCCAGTGTATTATTAAATTCTTCCCAAATTCTATTAATTATAAATGGATCTAATTTATATAAACCAAAGGAAATATTCATATTATTTTCAAAACTGCTTTTTATGAAACAAGATTCAATTATATTCCTGTTGACCATGGACTTGCTTGATACTACTTTCTCAACTTTTTGAAATCAATTGGATGGTTAAAATCTCTTACATGAATAAATAGAGCATTGGAATCTTGTCCAGTTCTAATGCTATATTTATGTTGTTTTAATCTTAGTTCGAGATTTTTACCAGTTTGACCGTAATAAACTTTATCGCAAATTTTACAAGGAATCTTATACACACATCCATCAGCATTTTGGGGGGAATTATTTATCAAAAGTTTTTTTTACTGTATCAGATTTTTGAATACAACTTTAATATTAAAAGTCTTAGAAGAGAAGGCATATCAACCAAGTTTTCATGGTAAGGGAGAACCAACATATTTTTAGTTGAATAAGGCTGATTGCCCCTTTTTGGATTATAAAAAGTGTTTCTAGCAACTTTAAAAGATTTATCAATTACATTTCTTGGGTATTTAATATTACCTATTTCATAAATTTTGGATATTTCCTCATCTATGAACTCAGGACTACAAATTCGTAAAGCTCTCAAAAACATTGATGAGAAAAACAGACAGTTTGACTCTATCTTGATGCGAGGAATAATAGTGGACATAGGAACAGTTATTTGTAGGTTTTCTGTAAATTTTAAATTTGAATTCATTATTACCCTTAATAATTAAAACATCTAGAAAGGCAATGAGTTATTTTCTTCAAACTCAACAGTAAAGTTTATAGAATGGGCTAAGCTATTTAATTTTCCAAAAGAAAATGGTGTATATCTACATTTTTGGGCATAAGACACAAAATATCATCAACATATCTAAACCATTTAGCTCTATTAGGGAGGATTGTGTTAAGCAACCTTGTTTCAAAAAATTCCATGTATAGGTTACTAAGAACAGGTGAAAGAGGATTTCCCATTGCCATACCAAACTTCTGAGTGTAAAACTTATCATTAAATACAAATTTTGCATCAACAATGCAAAGTTTAATAAGTTTAATGATAGTAGGAACTGGCAATGGTAAATCATAGTTAACGAGTTCTTCAGATAAGAAATTTAATAAATCATCAACAGGAACTTTCGTAAACAAGGAAGTAACATCAATTCTATGATTAACTTCATCCTTCATAAATCCATCCGCCGACACTTCAACTCCCAAGTATCTGAAAACATTCACTTCTTCCATACTCCTCCTCCCCAATTTGATATCCATTTTTTCTTTATCTAAATAATTTGATACCCTCATCACCTTACTCTTTTCTATGTTCACGTTCAACTTTCTACCTTTACACACATTCTCAAACTCATCCACTAACCTTTGCAATTTTTCTTTAGAATCTCCCATAAGCACAGTATCATCAGCAAAAAGTAACTGTGTTAATTCCCATTTTGAATTTGATTCCCCATAATTTAATCCCACCCCTCTCCCGAACACCCTAGCATTTACTTCTTTTACATCCCCATCTATAAATATATTAAATAACCATGGTGACATTACACATCCCTGTCTAAGACCTACTTTTACCGGGAAGTAGTCTCCCTCTCTTCTACACACCCTAACCTGAGCCTCACTATCCTCATAAAAACTCTTTACAGCATTTAGTAACTTACCACCTATTCCATATACTTGCAACATCTGCCACATTGCTCCCCTATCCACTCTATCATATGCCTTTTCTAAATCCATAAATGCAATAAAAACTTCCCTACCTTTACCTAAATACTGTTCACATATATGCTTCAATGTAAACACTTGATCTACACATCCCCTACCCACTCTGAAACCTCCTTGCTCATCCACAATCCTACATTCTGTCTTACCTCTAATTCTTTCAATTATAACCCTACCGTACACTTTTCCTGGTATACTCAATAAACTTATTCCTCTATAATTTTTACAATCTCTTTTGTCCCCTTTCCCTTTATATAAAGGGACTATACATGCTCTCCGCCAATCCCTAGGTACCTTCCCCTCTTTCATACATTTATTAAACAAAAGTACCAACCACTCCAACACTATATCCTCCCCTGCTTTTAGCATTTCTGTCATGATCCCATCAGTTCCAGCTACTTTACCCCCTTTCATTCTACGTAATCCCTCACGTACCTCCACCACACTTACATTCTGCTCTTCTTCACTCCTAAAAGATGGTATACCTCCCTGACCAGTGCATGAAATTACTGCCTCCCTTTCTTCCTCAACATTTAAAAGTTCCTCAAAATATTCTCGCCATCTACCTAATACCTCCCTCTCCCCATCTACTAATTCCCCTACTCTGTTTTTAACTGACAAATCCATACTTTCCCTAGGCTTTCTTAACTTGTTTAACTCACTCCAAAATTTTTTCTTATTTTCATTAAAATTTCTTGACAGTGCCTCTCCCACTCTATCATCTGCTCTCCTTTTGCACTCTCTCACCACTCTCTTCACCTTTCTTTTACTCTCCATATACTCTGCTCTTCTTATAACACTTGTGCTTTGTAAAAACCTCTCATATGCTAACTTTTTCTCTTTTATCACACCCTTTACTTCATCATTTCACCAATCACTCCTCTTTCCACCTGCCCCCACCCTCCTATAACCACAGAACTTCTGCCCCACATTCTAATACTGCATTTTTAAAACTATTCCAACCCCCCCCCCCTCCCACTACTCATCTTTGCACTAGCCCACCTTTCTGCCAACAGTCGCTTATATCTCCCCCGAACTTCCTCCTCCCTTAGTTTATACACTTTCACCTCCCTCTTACTTGTTGTTGCCATCTTCCTCTTTTCCCATCTACCTCTTACTCTAACTGTAGCTACAACTAAATAATGATCCGATATATCAGTTGCCCCTCTATAAACATGTACATCCTGGAGCCTACCCATCAACCTTTTATCCACCAATACATAATCCAACAAACAACTTTCATTACGTGCTACATCATACCTTGTATATTTATTTATCCTCTTTTTCATAAAATATGTATTACTTACTACCAAATCTCTTTCTACACATAGCTCAATTAAAGGCTACCCATTTACATTTACCCCTGGCACCCCAAATTTACCTACTACTCCCTCCATAACATTTTTACCCACTTTAGCATTGAAATCCCCAACCACCATTACTCTCACACTTGATTCAAA